CTCTGTGAACAAAATATATATAGTTTGTTTAAATGTTCTTTCAACTTGAAAATTAATGCCATTCTTACAACTTCTTCAGCATTAGTGGGGCATGGAGCCATGACTGATGACCAGCCCTATGAATTTGACCATCAGCTGTGTTGTTAGATCTCCACACAGTTTCCTTCTGGATATTAGTTTTTTGTTAATTAAGACTCAAGATTCTTTTGCATCTAATGCAATCTGAGTTTATCCATTGCTCTTAATAGTAACGTTTCTCTTAATTATAGATATTTCATAGATCCTAGGAGCTCACAAACTATGGAACAATTTTTGCTTTCAGGTCTTTTTCAATCTCTTTGCTTAGGTCATTATTATTGTACATATTACCAGGTATGTATTAGCAAAAGATGAAGAAAAAAGAAGAAAACATAAAATTGATTATTAAGTCTATAAAAATTAAAAAGAAACCTCTGCTAACTTTTTAATGGGGATTAATAATCTTGTCACAATAAACTTTTTTTTTTTTTTTTTTTTTTTGAAGCAGAGTCTTGCTCTGTCACCCAGGCTAGTGTACAGTGGCGCGGTCTCAGCTCACTGCAACCTCCGCTTCCTGGGTTCAAGCGATTCTCCTGCCACAGACTCCCAAGTAGCTGGGCTTACAGGCACCCGCCACTGTACCTAGTTAATTTTTGTATTTTTAGTAGAGATGAGGTTTCACCATCTTAGCCAGGCTGGTCTCGAACTCCTGACCTCGTGATCCACCACCCCCCCCCCACACACACTCAGCCTCCCAAAGTGCTGGGATTACAACAAACATTTTTACAGGCCCAGGTAAACCTGTAATGATATGCTCAAGATGCCGTGTAGGGAAATGCAAGCAAAGGATGATAAAGAATCCATTGACAAATAACCAAATCATAATAGTAGCGATTCTTGCACTATTCCCTAGGGGTCATTTTCCCCCTCATTACAATGAGTTTGAGGAGATGGTGACAGAATAGAGGATGTTGTTACAGCACCTTCCCTGACCCTGTTCTAGTTTAATAATCTAGATGCAACTTTAGTAAATGTCTAAACCTATGTAAGTAGAATAATACCATAGTTGATTCTGCCTGGAACATACATACATTCTAGAATCAAACTAGTCTAGTTTTTACCTTCAATGGAGAGAGTGGTGGTGACATTTGCCTCAAAAAGAAGTTTACTAGTAACCTTGGGTAACTTGGAGTTGGCCTTGCCAGTGGCAAAATAGTATCACAAGGAAAAGTGCTCGTCTTTCTCCTGTCAATATTTGGTTATCCTTCTGAACTTTTCTCAGTTCCACAGATACCTCATGGGCTGCTGCCTCTACCTGCATAGTCTTCTTCTGGTACATGGAACCACTTGATATAAATTGCTGATGAATAAGTATTCTCTTTGTAGAAACCCAGGCACCAGCCAGAAGACCCAGAGACTGTGGGTCAACTCCACTTGCATCTGTGACAGTACAGTTCTATAAACAATGTTTATATGTTTTTATTCAGAAAACAAAGATATTTCCAATTAAAAAAAATTTTTTAAAGCTTAATGAAGAATGTTGTCTTTTAAAAAATATTTATTTATTGTCATGAGTTAAGAATTACTCATATTTCTTTTACAGACCTATAAAAATGATATATTTTTTTAAATTACTGCTTTATTTATAATATTTATGAATTGTTAAATATTGCATTGGGGTTGCATTCCCAATTTAATCAATTTGTTTTAATACTTTTATATCGATTAGTTTATATAGATTTTCATATCTATAGCTAACTACAATCAATTCACTTCTAATTTTGTAAAAATTTTATCAGCTCTAGGGATCAAGTTGGTCTTTGTCATATAGTTATGTTGAGCAACTATTTTTTTTTTTTTTTTTTTTTTTTAGATGGAGTCTCACTGTCACCAGGCCAGAGTCCAGTGGCATGATCTCGGCTCACTGCAACCTCTGCCTCCCAGGTTTAAGCAATTCTCTTGCCTTAGCCTCCCAAGTAGCTAGGATCACAAGCACACTAATTCTGTTTTTGATACCCAGGTTAATGTTGAGATACTCATTTTAAATCCAGGAAGCCGGTTAGACAGACAAGCCTGCAGCTCGAGGGAGAAGTCAAAGCTGAGATGTAAAGTAAGGAGTTATCAGAAATAATATTGAAAGTCATGTGCCAGATAAGATCACCTGGGAATGGGGTAGAGCTGGCAAGAAGAGCAGAGCGCCCAGCCTTTCCTCCAGTGCTGGGAGGTCAAGCAAGGAAGGGAGACTGCCAGGAGATGGGAGCTAATTCTTGCATTTTTAGTAATGACGGGATTTCACCATGTTGGCCAGGATGGTCTCAATCTCTTGACCTCATGATCCCCGTGCTTTGGCCTCCCAAAGTGCTAGGATTACAGGCAGTGAGCCACCGCCCCAAGTTGGGTAATTATCTTTTTGATCCATGACTTCAAATGAATAGCTGACACTGAAATTGTTAAAGAATAATGTGGAAAGTCCCTCTGTTCACACTGTTCACCTTCTGGAAAATCTTTGACAACTTTATTTTTCAGTTGCTTTGTTCAGGTTTTTTACTTCTTACTATGTTAATTTTGATGTTAGTTTTGCTGTTATTACAGTACTTGTTCTATTTTATAGAACATAATCCCTTTTGTTGATATTTCTATCACAAAACTATAAGAGAAATCCATTATAATTTAATCATTTTAGCCATTACAATATATGACATATCTTTTGTAATGTTGATGTCTTATTTTGATTAAACTTAACTATATATTTTTTTCTTATTTTGACTTTATAAGCAACCATATTTTGGATTATTTATTACTTTTACTAACTTTTAGCTCTGTATTTTTTTCTGAATTTCCATAAATAATTTCCTTCTCTCAAATATTCTTTGAATTGATATTCTCATTTTCTGAAATCATAGCTAATTTGTATTTCAGAAAATAAGGTTTTATAAGCATTCTCCATTGTGGAATCTCATATGTTCATTTAAAAAGTGTTTACTTCACCTGGGAATCTGAATTTGATTAAGAGAAGAGTGAATAGAAACAGTGTGGCTGAGACTGCCATGCTCCTCATAATGCAGGAGATTCTGGTGGACACCCTGGCTGGTCATCGTTGCACGGTTACAATGTGACCAGACATGTGTGATGAGTGATTACTAAATAGAACCCCAAGACAGTACAGCAAGAGGATACCAGAATTTACATAGTCACAAACTACCAGAGCTTCATCCTAGCCCAGGGAGATGACTTAGCAAAAGATTTTCTGGTGGTAATATCACTTACCCTGCAGTTCTTGCATTCTGGTAGGACTTTGTCCTGGAAAGGCAGGACACCTGAATAGCCACTACCTGAATACGTCTCCTGTGAGGAAATCGGTGGCCTGGGAAACCATGGTTCTTAGCTTTCCCTCCTAATGCATTTTGATGTCCTTTGCTACAATGGATTTTTAAACTGATTACAGTAAAATTTAAGTAGTGGTGGTACATTTATGCCACAGAGTGATCATGTGCACCAAGTTTTAAGCTTAGTCCTCTCAAGGCAATTTCAAATGGGTTATTCAGTGAATAGCGTTAAAGTATAATTTTCTGAAATGCAAAATCATGACTCAGGAAAATATAAAATGAGCACACGTCAAAGACTTTAAAATTTATTAACTAACGAGGGAACTGGCAAGATGTAGCTATTTCAAAGAATATTTAAGAACTAAGAGTGTTTATAGGCCAGGCCTGGTGGCTCAAGCTGTAATCCCAGCACTTTGGGAGGCCGAGGCAAGCTGATCACCAGGTCAGGAGTTTGAGACCAACCTGGCCAACATGGTGAAACCCCATCTCTACTAAAAATACAAAACTTAGCTGGACATGGTGGCCTCACCTGCAGTCCCAGATACTTGGAAGGCTGAGGCAGGAGAGTAGGTTGAAACCAGAAGGCGGAGGTTGTAGTGAGCTGAGATTGTGCCACTGTACTTCAGCCTGGGTAGCAGACTGAGACTCCATCTCCAAAAAAAAAAAAAAAAAAAAAAAGAGCGTTTATAGGCAATTTAACAAATAAGTGTTAAAAATAAATTGTTACTCATCAACTGTTTACTGTCCAGTAGACTATAAATTTTGGAGATAATCTATTCCATTGGAAGAAAATTATTTGCATCCCTTCTGGAAAAAAATACATGTTTGCAAACAATTTCATTGAATCTGTAATTTTAAGCAACTATTAAACTATGAAATGAACTAACTCTATTCTCCTGTACAGTCTGAATAGTCTTCACCTCTATAAGCCATTGAAAGGATATGACACCAGCATTTTTGTTTTCAAGTTTCAGATCTTTTTTGTCCCACAGGTAATGGACAGCCCATGTAAAGCCTTGATAATTAATTCTTACCATTTCTAGCATTAGAAACTGATGGAAGTTAAAAGCATGCTTCCTTTAAAAGTCTGAAAAATCACTTAAATCCATTTGGTGAGAAACATTCTTTTCCAATTTTTACCAAGCCATGTGGAAAAATTATTTAGGCAGCTAAGCAAGAAAGGGCCTGAGCAGAAACAGATGAATCAATTTTTCCAGAGGCAGAAAAAAGGAGAGTTTTGACGCCACCATGACCTAAAGATTTAGAGACATACTGAGATGAACTAGGCAAGAAGGAGTAAGTGTATTAGCTTTACTAATCCTAGAGAAGTTCTCAAACTTCAGCTTATAATAAAAGACACGTGGAGGCTTGTTAGAGCACAGCTTCTGGGGTCCACCCTCAGAAGTTGTTCTCAAAATGTGGCCCGCCAGCCCAGCAGAATCAGCCTCACCTGGGAACACTTTAGGAATGCAAATTCTTGGGCCCCACTATACATCAACAACAATGGGATTGAGAGTGACCAATATGTTTTACAAGCCTTCAGGATAATTGTGATGCACATCCCAGTTTGAGAACTTTGCCCTTGCTTTAAGCCAGGAGTCACTGCAGACTGAGATCAGGGATAATTAAGAAGTATGAATAACAACTCATGTGGTAATGACAGACAAGGTTCTAAACACCTCCCAGTCTCCACATCAGTTAACTTCTCATGAAGAGCTGATCAGAAAGGTGATGCTGAGGAAAGCAGACATTGCCCTCACCAAGAGAGCGGGAGAACTCGCTGAGGATGAGGTGGAATGTGTGATCACCCTTACGCAGAATCCACGCCAGTACAAGGTCCTAGACTTGTTCTTGAAAAGACAGAAGAATGTAAAGGATGGGAAATATAGCCGGGTCCTAGCCAATGGTTTGGACAACAAGCTCCGTGAAGACCTGGAGCGACTGAAGAAGATTCGGCCCATAGAGGGCTGCGCCACTTCTGGGCCTTTGTGTCCAAGGCCAGCACACCAAGACCAGTGGTCGCCGTGGCCACATCGTGGCTATATCCAAGAAGAAGTAAGTTTGCAGGCCTTTCTGTTAATAAATTGTTTATATACCGAAAAAAAGAAAGATATTATCATCTATATTGATTCATGGATAAACTGGGTCAAAAAGAGGTTAAATCATCAGCCAAGGCTTAAGTGGTATAACCAGTATCAGATCAGATGGGCCCCAAAAATCTTTCTAATCACTGCTCTGTAGTTTCATATAGACAATGAAATGTTTCTTTCAGATTTGTTCCAACACATATTACATTTAAATATAACAATTACATTTTTTTCATCTGGCTTAATGCCCCTCTCTCTAATACTATTCATCACATATTGCTTGAGGATTTCAGCATCCACCCATAGGAACTCTATAATGCATTCAACTTTTAGTCCTTTAGTGCTCTCCTTAATATTCTGTTTTTAGCTCGTATCAGCCACCAACTCCTGAGCTTATGCTCTGAAATTTAGCATTACCAGGAATTGTACCCACTCTGCAATCTCAGTTCCATGTACACTAAAATCTGATCATCATCTCCTTTTTCAGCTCACTCCTTCTAATATACCAGCTCCAGAAATTCGACCTCATAGGAGCCTATGGTCTTATTATCCTGCTGGCTTGTTACTGTCACAGCCAAATCCTTTTTTTCCAGCTGAGAGCCCAGGTTTTATCATGTTCATCAACATTTTACCATACACCTGAGCTCTCTTGTCTTCCTCTCTGTTCTTCATTTTTATCTAGTTAAACTCAGTCATGGTTACATAGAGCCCACAGTCCGCTCTATACCTACACACACGCCACCGAAACTGGTGAGAAAAAATGACCATGTTGACTGGTCTCAGATTAAAGTCATGACTTTTGACCTGAGTGTTGCCAAACTGTCATGTTTCTTTTCCATAGTCCAGTGGTTGCCAAACTTGTCTGCACATTGATGTCAACTTCAAAAATTGCTCATGCCTGTGTTTCACTCCTGGTGATTTTGATTTAATTGGTCTAGGGTACAGCCTGGGTAAGAATCTTTAAAAGATGCCTACAACTTAGTCCATTTACACTTCAACCCTCTCATTTTCACATCTTTTCTTTCCTAAAACCTGCAACTCCTTTTAAATTATCTTTCCTCTCTGTTTTCTTCCTTTTCACTGAGAAAATAAAGTAGCAGAACAGAGCGTCTATATATTCCATCCACTGCATTTGCAATCCTACACTTCTCTTCATCCAGTGAGTTTGCTTCTTGGGCTGGTATGATGGATGACCTCCCCATGTCCCTATTTAAGGCCAATCTGTCTCTTGAGCATCCGTCACCTCTTCCCTACTCAAAGGTATCACTTCAACAGTGTGTCTGCTCTTTCCAAAATCATCTTTCTCATTTCTTCATAGCATTTACATCAATAACTATGTTATAATATCTACAAATATACATATCTATTGGTTGTCTCGACCTACTAGAAATTAAGGACAAAGGCTCTATTGTTCTAGTTTACTATGATTCTTCAATGTCGAGAATTGAGTCTTTATAGCAGACATCAAAAAAATATATATCTGTTGAATGAACAAATTTGCATCACTGTTATGCTGGTTATTTGCAGTTTGTTCTAATATCTAATTGTGCTCTTCTTTGCCTTGCTCTATGCCCAAGGAGGCTGGCTTCCAAAGACTGCTTTGTGTGGATTTCCTGGTCTGCTGTCTTTCTGTTCGGTTCAGCCAAAGTTAGGCAGAAAATCAAGGGGGCAGAAGGAGAGGTCAGGACATGCTCTCCTAGTTGCAATCTGTGGTAACTATGTCTTTCCTGATCCCTGCTCCCATCAAAACACTCCTCCTTTTCCAGCTGTGCCACTCACTGGGCTCTGGTTAGGTGATATTTTTCTCTTCTGCTTCAACTTTAGAGATGTCTGTGGCTCCACTGCTGCATGCCCTCAGGTGTGTCCACATCCTTTGTTGGCTTATTTACTGCTGCTCTCACCTCTAGCACTAATATCTTCACTAAAGTCCCTTTGAATCATCTGGAGGGAATGAAATCTATTAAGAGTTGGATGGATCAAGTTAACTTAATAATCAGCTATACTTTTATTTTAAAAAATAATTTACCTACTTGAATTAATCTTCAGGGGATTATTCTGGGTTAAAACTAAAAACAGAACTACCATATAGTTCAGCAATTTAACTTTTGGGTATATGTCCAAAGGAATCGAAATCAGAGTCTCCAAGAGAGATCTGCATTCTCACATTCATTGCAGCAGTATTCACAACAGGCAAGATATGGAATCAACCTAAGTGTTCATCCACAGATGAATGGATAAATGTCTGCAAAGGGCAGACTTTTTTTTTTGTTGTTTAATTAGCTTTAAAAATAGCTTTATTTACATGTGACGGATAAATATATATGTACCATATATCCATGTGGAATACATATCACATATATATTCCATTGTGTGCATAGCTCACACAGCTTTACAAAAGAAGAAAACTCTGCTCTTTGTAACAACATGGATGAACCTAGAAGACATTATGGTAAATGAAATAAGCCTAACACAGAAGAGCAAATACTATGTGATCCCACTCGTATGAGAAATGTAAAATAGTCAAACTCAGAGAAGCAGAGATAATAGTGGTTTCCAGGAATTGAGGGGAGGGGACCATGGGGAACTATTAGTTAAGGGTAAAAACTTTCAGTTATGTGACACAAATAAGACCTAGAGATCTACTGCATAGGGTAATTTGTATAGTTCGCAATAGTGTGTTATATAATTTAAAATGTTCTAAGAGAAGTGTTATCATATATACAAAATAATGATTATAAATAAATATAGTGAGAGAAAACTTTTAGTGGTTATGGCTATGTTTATGACAAAGATTCTGGTGATGCTTTCATCAGTATATACTTACCTCCTAACTTGTCAAGTTGCATATATATTATATGTGAAGCTATTTGTATGTCAATCATACCTCAATAAAACAGTGAAAATCATGAATCTCCAAAGATTACATACTATATGATTTCATTTATATAACATTTTTGAAATGAAAAAAATAAGGGAACGGAGAATAGATTAGTGATTTCCAGGAGTTAGCAATTGCACCATCATTGCTCTCATTTTGCTGTTGTTGTTGTTGTTGTTTTGAGATGGAGTCTTGCTCTGTTACCCAGTCTGGAGTGCAGTGGCACAGTCTCAGCTCACTGCAAGCTCTGCATCCTGGGTTCAAGCAATTCTCCTGCCTCAGCCTCCCAAGTATCTGAGACTACAGGAATGTGCCACCATGCCCAGCTAATTTTTGTATTTTTAGCAGATACAGGGTTTCACCATATTGAACAGGCTTGTCATGAACTTCTGACCTCGTGATCCACCCGCCTTGGCCTCCCAAAGTGCTAGGATTACAGGCATGAGCCACCATGCTGAGCCATTACTGTCATTTTTTGAAAGAAGGAAAATAAGTCTCAGGGAGGTTAAATGACTGGTATAATTTTGTCCAGTTGGTAAATGAGAAAATCAGGATTTTCATTTGTGCCTGTTTTGCGCCAAAGCTCACCTACAGCTATCAAACTAGCTCACACATGGCCGATGCAAAGGACAGCCTTTTTTTTTGTTTGATTTGCTTTAAAAATCAAAATTAGCCACCCTATTTATACATGGAGATCTACTTATAATATACATACATTTCCACAGCTTCTTCATTTTGAGCCTTTCCTCTTAAGCAAAGACTGGCACAGTTCTTGATGATACAGAGAAGCCCAGTTGTTTAAATATTTAGGTAACCGTACTGTAAAATGTATGCCTAGCCAGGAAGCCTTTTTTGCATGTAGACATAATTAAACAGGAAGAGAAGCCCATGAAATATGTAGGGCTTCTTACAAATTCTCAAAGGAATCCTTTATAAGCCAATAAGAAGATGTTAGGAGAAAGCCATACCCAGTGTGAGAGAGAAAGGTCTCCAAGGATTTGAATGCTTCTAGAAAGAGCCACTGTGGTCACATCAGCAGGAGTCTGAGTACACATGAAGACCCAGAGGCACAACCCTCAGAAAGCTGGCATCACTTTAGTCCCACAAAGGAGTCTCCAGCCTCTATACTCCAGTGGCCCATTCTCATTTGGATTGCAAATCACTTTGCATGGGTTCCAGGCAGTGCACTGAATGAACTCATGTTCGAAAGTTAGTTTAAGATCTGACTGGTATGTCCTTTGTTTGGTCAAATGCTTCTAATGCCACTGGCTCTCTCCTGGATGGTAATGAAGTAACATTAAGATTAATTATGCACTTGATTTTTTGCTAAATGCTTTGCTATAGACTCTGGTTAGTTGCATTTAATTGTAAAATAGATAATAAAAATTGCTTTAATAAAAGCAAAGCCCAGAATGCAGTAATAACAACAATAAAAATTATCAGAATTATAATACTGACTGCTATTATTAGACTCTTAAAATGTACCTGGTACCATGCTCTCTTCCTTCATGTAAGTTGCATCTGCTATCTTCACAACCACCCTGGCGAAGGAACCATTTTAGTCCCAACTTTCCTTTGAAGAAATTGAGGCTCAATGACAATATTGGATTTTGTCTCAGCCTGTGCTCCTGGAAAACAGAAAAACTGAGAAATCTCCCATGCTTTTGTGTTTCAGGAAGTAGCTTATTGTGAAGGACGATCCTTTCTGTTATAAGTTAGGCCAGACTCTCAGATGCCTGACCTTGTTTACCTATGAAAATGCCAGACCTGGGATCTCCAAATTTCTATTCCTTGCCCTATATATAACTAGCTAAACAGACCAACTGTAAAATACGTGCTACTGTGACTTGAACAAACTTTATTCAAGCTTCTTTGCTTTCCCTACATCCCTGAACTTTGATTTACCCTTAACCTTAACCAGCAAACAGCCCTTCCTCCTGGCCCCTCCTGAGACTAGGCCTCTCCAGGTAAAACCTCTCTGATCACCTGTCAGATCATGATTGTACCCCAGTGAGTTAGAGAAAGCACCACACTCTGAGTTTCAAATTAAAAGTCCTTTATTTTTGCCGGCGACCATTAGATGGCTAACGCTCA